AGGGTGCCCTTGGTGCCAAGAAGGCCAATGGCATCCTGGGGTGCATTAAGAGGAGTGTGGCCAGCAGGGTGAGGGAGGTTCTCCTCCCCCTCTACTCTGCCCTGGTGAGACCCCACCTGGAGCACTGGGTCCAGTTCTGGGCTTCCCAGTTCAAGAAGGATGAGGAACTACTAGAGAGAGTCCAGAGGAGGGCAACAAAGATGATCATTGCTCTCCTTCTTTGCTATTTGCAAACTTATATTTCCTTTTCTTTTTCAGCCTGAATATTTCTAGTTTCAACTTTAAGCTGCTAGATCTTGCTTTATCTTTCACCAATAGATTAAAAAGTCTCTGTTCCCCAGGTAGGCCAGCGAAGAATTAATTTCCTAAACCTTCCCTAAAAGAGACTATGCTTCACAGCTGGTCACTGTGTTTCCAAATCTCTAATAGTTTTCAGATTTCTTCTCTGAATAACCTCTTTGATTTGTGAACACAAGATGGTGAGATGTGAGATATTATACAGGGGTAATGTATTTATGTTACTGAATGACACCACTCCATGTCAGCTTCTGGAGCCAAGAATATCATCGGCACTTCCAGCCATTTTACATTACAGGGAGCTTGTCTCGGCTACCCACAATGACTAAAGTTTTTAGGTCATTGTTTCCAGCGATGCTGTAAGGGAAACTCTTAACACAGACCACACACCCTGTTCTTAGATGTATTACTTTATGTACATACGGAAATACAGATTGTTTGCGCCCACCCTAAGAAGAAATTCAAATCACTCTGACTGGATTGTTATTTTAATCATTAATTGGCAAAACTCTGGACGATAGTAAATATTAGGGGAAGGCTGTGATTTTCTGTTTTCTTTCAAGGTCGCTGACAAAAGTTTATAGCAATGCAACAACAAGAACCAGTCTCTAAAGGACCTAAGCAGAGTAACTACTCCTCATTCAAAACCGTATTTCGTATCTCTCAGTTATCCAACTCTATACCCATTTAATGCAAGTCACTGTACTGTTCTAATTTCTTACTAGGAAGTGAGCTACAGAAATACATACACCTGCATCTTGCTTTCTCTGGGAGAAATCTGTAAAACCATGTAATAAACATCCTTCAAAAAGGATATGAATGTAAACTTGACAAACAGAAATTGAGCGGTGCAACATAACTACAGTTACTCTGATAACCAGTTTTTTATAAATACCAACGTTTTTGAGATGTCCCTGTCCAGCTTACTGAGCACAAACTTGAAAAAGTTACTGCTATGAAGATCCTGAATTTTTAAAAAATATTTTCTAAAAAGGATGCAAGTCTGAACATTACATATTATTTCTAAACATGAAAAGTACCAGTCTTCTCTTTGGACTGTGAAATGCTAAATTTTATCTCTCCTAGCAGAACATGATACCCTGACAACTACACTCACCACATCTGAAGGCAGATCTTGTTAGGGGCCTCACTGCAGGAATTCAGGGTTTTGTTCAGATAATAACATGTTTCTTTTGCCTGAAGATACCTCAACAGGTGTAACCGATCTCTGCACAGGGAGACCGTGGCAGACTCATCCACAGCAGGATGAGTAAGTCCTTTTAATCCTTCTTAGCTGCCTACAGACCACGTTACTGTAATCCATCTGAAGAACTGCAGAACTGCGCTTCAAAGTAAGCCAGAAAAGGTTACCAACACATTAACCTCCCTTTTTGCTTATTAAAAGAAAAATCAAGAGCTTTGAAAGTCAGAAATTTTTACTGCTCTTGGCTTTGAAAGGCCTAATTGTGAGACCGAAAAGTTTCACAGGCCACGTTTTAAAGATTTCTCTTGTAACTTCAGGGAAGACAGATGGCTTGGTAGTACCTGCAGTCACTGGGGAGGCAACGGTAACTCGCCTGGGAGCAAGGGAGCGATCCACAGACATTTTAACCATCCCACACGCTGACCTTCTTTAAGCATTGCAAGGATGGAGAATTTTCTTCCTCTTCCTACGACACCTCATCCCCTATGAGGCAGTGGCTGTTTCCAAACATCACTTTTGATTCCGTGTGCCCGTGTTCACAAATGGACGCGCACCCCTCCCAGACCTTGAGCTCCTCTGCTGTAGCACAAACCACGGCGGCTGCGTGCACGCCTGTGTCTGTCTGTCTGCTGGAAGCAACTCTGCAAGATGAGGCATTTTCCCTCTGATTGCCTGCTGATTTTTTTATGCCGTTCCAACCTTCTTCAGAAAGCCAAGGATATTTTGAGTTCAATAGGAAAACTCGAGGCCAATAAAGAAATAGGAAAATATATTTAAATTATTTTAAAATCCTCTGATAGCCAGGCACAAAGGAAACTCAGCACCTCAGGAAGCTTTGGCAGCATTATGCAGGCAGGCATGGACTCAGACATGATATTCCTCTGGCTGCCTTATAAAAGAAGAACCCCCAACTGTGAAGATCATCTAACAGTGAAGGTGGAGAATAGCTCTGTGTGCTCTGTAAAATATATATGTACATATATTATAGCATCAATGGACTGCAATGGTGCGGTTCAGAAAGCATGTCTTGATTTTCATTTTGGAGACATCCTAAAAGCATAAAATAGGAGCTTCTGGTTTATTTTTGAAGTGCCGACCTGTTCCACTTTAGTTTCCCCTCTTCTACTCTAAGCCATTTTCCTCCACGCCACAGTGAGGCACTGTCAACAATTTCGAGAGGCCTGGGCAGAGAACTAGAACAGGTCCATCACCAGACTTACTTCCAGCTTTTGCTCTACCTGTTTACCCGAAATGCAGAAAATGCAAGACTGTCTCAGTGCACCTACAGCACTGATACGTGACTGCTGTTGTCCTCAGTAACTGCTTCTACAACCTTCCTGGAACTCGCCCTGCACCACAGTTATTAATGCACAAATTGTGCCACTTTCTCTGGGTAAAACCCTCTAGATTCCTCAGTCTCATGTGACTTCGCACCTTTCACGTTGCTCAAAACAGGGTAGCAGGGGCAAATACCATTTCCACCTGACAGCCTATTTCTATTACTGGCATACATAGGTCTGAAAAGTCCAAACCGCTACCTGGATCACTCCAAAAAGCTTCTCAGGGCTGGCTTAGTCTTAGTTCAGAGAATGAGAAAGACTGGAATGGCAGCAGTCGCTCTCCTTCAGCATGGGTAGAAGAAATCTCTTTTGCAAAGCACTGTAAAAATCACTACTGAATTAATAGCTAAATCAGCACCAAGCCTTCCTTCTTATTTTGGACTCTGGAGGCTTTACCCACTCAATGCTACACGTTCAAAATAAGAAGGAATTAAGGAAATGCATCACACAATGATAAGTTTGAAAGTTAACCTAGCTATAGTGCTGTTAAGCCAAGTTGTAATGCAGCATTTCTAAGATCATATAACATAATATGGAAAAAGACAAGAAGAACATATACTATACAATCCATCCATTAGAAAAAGGAAAAAAACCCAACTCCATCAAAAGCCAAGACAGATTATTCTGCTGCACAGTAACAGAGGTCACCATCACTTCACACACAAGCAGAATTCAAGTGCTGAGATAGCATTGCACTCATTGTCTTCTACTTTGTTTCAACTTAGTGTGAATAATTTTGTTCACAGATATGGGTAAGAAAGGGAATCGCAAGTTCAGAGCGTCCTGGGAATAGTATGATGTTGGAGATTCACTGCCACCGTTAAAAATTCTTTGCCAAAAGCTCATAGAAACTTCAGGAAAACAATGCTGAGAAATGATCCAGTTATGACTCTAGAACACGCAAAATAATTTAAAGCTTACTTAAAATGCCAAAAGTCTCTCAGATCTTGCAGTTAATCAGTCTTTTAAGAAAATTTACTATCACGTATTTCAACAGGGCTTCACTCTCACTTCCCGTTTCTATGAAATCAGTCTCTAGATGCTGTAAAACTTCAAAATACAACACATGCAACCAACAGACAGACAGACACCCGCCTGAGATTACAGGCAGCCGAAGAAATGAGCTCTGAAACATGAAATGAAATCTAGCAGGGGATAAGTCAGGTAATAATGCTGTTTTACAACACCGTCAGGAGCACTTTTGCTCCTGAAAGCGATGAGCAATCGTATCACGAAGAACCAGTGACTGAGGAAGCCTTAAGTGTCAAATGATAACATCGGTAGGAACAGAATGGGATCTACGTTCCTGAAGGCAACTGTATCTTTAACAAGTTGGAGATGCAGTTTTATTAATTTCATGTGAAAATAGATCAGCTTTGTAAAGCATAAAATAGGCTACCGTGAAATAGTTTGCTCAAATAATTTTTCAAAATGAGGCCCACATGCATTGTTAATTTAGGAGCAGTGTGTAAATGATATTTTCCTATTCATCAAATGCTGAGATGTATGTCCTTGCAAACAAACTAAAATGCAGGGCACCGGTGAAGGATGTGAGCACCTCTGTCACACCAATTCTGGCAAAATTAGTAAATCTGCATTTGATCCTAATTCACGTAACATTCATCTCTTTAAGGCATAACCTTAATCCCTGCAGCTCTCTATACAGGACACAAACACTGAGTATTTCTTCCCTGCAGATCACCTAACACACTCTAAACCTACTATTAAATCAGCTGAAGTATTTTAACACAGCTTAAGGTGAAAGCTATTAAAAATTAACAAATACAGTCAACATAACCATTCCAAATCCAGGAAATACACATATTAGTACAGGTTTCAAGAAACCTAATTCTTGTGCACTCTGGGAATGAAATGATCAGAGGCCACTGAAACTACATTTACTGAAATGTGAGCTGATGTGTACTGACACCTTCCAACCCTCAGTACTTCAACCTGAAGCACCGCATTATCCCAGAGACGGCATCTATGAGCGTGCTATGAAAAAAAATTGACATTTTATTACACAACCACTGCGCTGAAATGAATAGTCCAAAAGAAACATATTAACAAGTTCGTCACTATTTATTTTTAATATTTTCTCGTTTGGGGTGTTTACTTGGCCTTTGGTGGTCTACTGCCTTTTTATGTCCATGTAAAGAAGCTATGCTTTTTAATTTATATATCTTATTAATGAAAATATGTTCAAAAAAAGTTATTTCTGAGCCTCCCTATGATCTCTATTATTAATTTACAGTCATACCTTCATAAGCAAACACTTCACGCTTGACCTAAAAGGGAAATGCTGTTCTGTATAATTACACAATTTATAAGATTTTACGCGCACAGGAATTGTTACAGTGGAACAATGAAAACCTTGTGGAGTTTTGAATTCTGCTTCAAGAGCATCACACAGCCAACCACACAACCACTGGTCCACCCAGTGAATTCAGTTCTAATCTTTGTCAGATAATGACTGACTCAAAACCTGAATTACAAGTGTTTTATGGTATTTCTTTAAACAGTACTAAGCAAAGTTTTAAATGTGTCAACACTGACTAATCTTTAAAGACTGTTGCCCACAGTATTTCAGCTGCTTAGCCACTGGTGGGAAGGAGCTATTAGTATTTAACTAAAAGTCAATGTCCTTGTCAAAAACACGTCTGTGGCTTGACAATAAAAATGGGTCAAAAAAAAGACGGAGCGTAAAAGGAAAAAGCAAGAGCTGAATGTTTTACCTCACTGTCTGGGCTGGGCTGGATAACTTCCCAGGTCTGAGAGTCCACGTCATAGCAGTGGAGCTCGTTGGGCAGCGTGTTATCTGCAGCACCACCAAACACGTAGAGATGCCGGTCGAATGCAACCATTGTGTGGCCGTATCTTCGCTGTGGAGGAGGGGGGGAGCCTCGAAGTAAGTGCTCGGTAGGAATTCGTGTCCAACTGAGACATCAGAAATGAAACAGTACATTTTATTTACAATTCCTTTCTGCAAAGTAAGTGTTCTAACTCTCAGACCATAAGAATAAAGAAGAGGAGCACTGTTGCAGTAGTTAGTGAACCTGCATGAGCACACACAACAACTAAACCTGCAGGTTTTTCAGAGCTCCGTGTTGCTAAACTTCTAATTGAAAATGTGATAAAGGCAACACGGTTCCATAACCCAGATGTATTTACGTAAACGCCAGCAGCTCAAAGACCACAACTTGGGAAGCAATCGGTGATCTAGCATCACACATTTTAACAGCTAATCCTTCTAAGTAAAGGGCACCACTCTGAGACCGTATCCCATTTTGATAAGGCATTGCTTATTCCCTATGATAGCACGAGTTCAGCCAAGGTTTGGAGCCTGTTTGCTGTTGTTTCAGTTGTGCTTCCTCTTCAGCCGGTAACCAGACAGACCACGTTGTCAGAACAGACCTGTGCATCTGTCTTCCCACTTTCTGGCATTTTTCCCCATATCGGAGGAGCCTCATTTTCAGAGCAGTGGTCAACATTTTGAGCAAGTCACACCAAATGTCTTGAACTGAACACTCATGATTTTAAATGATACTATGCATTTTACATTTCCCAGTGATTTCACTATGAACTGGTATTTCACAGGACCTCTGTCTGGTTTTAAACAGGTATTCAAGTAACAACTTTTAGGAAGGCAGTATTTGGCATCCCATTCCGAATACACTAACATTCGTGCTTGTTGTTTAAAGTGAATCTACTAAACTTCCTGTTCAGCTGCTGAAAAAGACCAACCTGATGCACGTGGCGAATGACAAAGTCTTATTAAAACAGCCCATATTTTATCTTATCTACCCTTCCTCATCATGAGATGCAGTATTCTTCCTCAATACCCTTAAGTACCTGCATTTCTCAACTGAAGTAGTCAAGGACTATGTGGATTTTGCACGACTTAACTGTCTACACTTACATCTTTTCCTTGAATTCAAACTGAAAGAGATTATTGGTAATCTTTGCTCCACTCTGGCCAGAGAAAACAAACATCTTGTCTTTGCAGACAGCCACGGGAAAATTACAGCACGAAGGAGGAATTTCACCACTTTGCTCAATCTGAAAGATAACAAAGTTCAAAATGTAAAACGTGTTATTGTGCACAGCTACAGGTGTTGAGCATGCTGCAGGACCAGGCGATACATCGGCAGACAGACAGACAGACCACATGGCAGCAATGTGTGCAGACAACCAAGTCCCTACAAATCTGGCTACAGGTAATCAACTAATGCTGTGCTTACACGTCTGCGCAGACTAATTTTACCATGGATAAAAAGGATGAGAGGCCACATTTCTAAAGCCCCTGATACTGTAAGGATCAGGACTCTGATCCTGATAGGCAGCCAGCAAAGCTCCCGGTCTACGGCAGTGGTTAAAGTGGGAAATGCAGCCCCTCTTTACAGGGGGCATAGCAAAGCCACCATGAGCAGTCTGGGGTTCACACATTCACAAGAAAAAAAATCACTTTCATATACACTTGGTTTTCCAAATACACAAACAAAATCAAATTAAACTGTTTATTTTAGCTGTGTGACAAATACATTCTGAAGAGAGCGCAGTATGATTCAGCATAAGAAATTCTAAGTAACTGTGTACGAAAACAAAAAAAAAAGAAAATTCTATGTGCTACTTCAAATTAAAGCTTCTTACCTCTTCCCAGCACGTCAGCTCTCTGTCCTGCAGGCCAATCGTCCACATATCATTTAACCTATGTGATAACACAAAAAGTGCTTGCTTTGAAACGGTTTCTTTTTTGTAATCTTTAGCTCATAGAGTTTGAAAGGACAGAGATCCTATTTTAACAGCATTCCTTCTCCTGCACAGGAAGAATCTCCTGCTACCAGAAAAAACTACTATCATCTTTTTGTCCTACACCTAAATTTTGTACCACCACCTAAGCTTGCTTTAGCATCTTTCTGGTTACAAGTATACTGCAGTTAACAGTTACACACAGCAACTCTGCCTGGAGCTTAAGGATTTGAGCTATTTAATCTTCAGGATTTTTACAGAAATACCCCTTATTATCCTGCCGCCTTCTACCCATCCCTGCTAACCCCCGAGCGTGACCACAGCAATCATTTACGCAGCTGAATCCTACCTCAAATACATAAAGGAGGACGAAGGGGGTAACCTGACACATCACTGACTACTACATATCTGACAATCCTTTTCCAGTACAAGTTACTCACAGACAACTACAGATGCTTCCTTTGTTCAAACCTGCCTGGAGGCTTGTGTTCCACAAAAAGACATTTTTAAACACGATTAGACATATTTAACATAAATTAGACAGCTTCTCTCACCCAATCCCGCCTTCCAGCTACCCAAGGTCCCCGGGGAACTCCCTAAGCTGGAACTGAGCAATTCCACAGAGTCATGCATCTTTCTCCAATTCCTCCTCCAGAAATAAAGATCCCATCTGTTTTTCCAATTAGCAGCAGTTCTCCCACAGACTTTGAGGAACTGGTAACTTTTCTGCAGATTCTGCTCAGAAGAGGAGGCAGCCCAGCATGCTGAGGCACTCCTAGTTTGTGACAATCTCTCTGTGTTCTCATGATGCAGATATTGTGCATCAACATAAAATACTTCTCAAGTTCATCAAGACAGAGAAAAATTATGTGTTCAGAATTGATTCTTCCCTGACAGACTAACAGCAAACGTGAAGAGCTGCCATCTGGGACAATGCACCAGACCCTCCCTAACTTCTCAGTACCACTGATTTCCAGTCCTTTCCCATCCAGAATCTCATCTTCCTTCAACCTAAATAGTCTTGGTATTTCAGTGCAGTATCCCACCGAGAGTATCAGATATTTTCAGAGAAAAAGCTGACATGTTGTTCTTAGTTCTGTCATACGACTTCAGAGAAAATCCATACTTAGTTCTATAGGACTTCAGCGACATCAGAAGGCCCATGGCAGTATCTTTTGTCAAATGCTCATCGGCCAAAATTCAAAGATCATTTAGCATCTTTACAGCCAAGGCGGCTGTCAAATTATACATCCATACCCATTCCGAGTTACCAGATTTTTAGGTTTTAAACACATATTTATTTGAACATGAACTGGTGAATTGCAAAAATGTAATGCTCAACAACAGGCTGGTTTTGCAAAGCTCCAGTTGTGTGTTTACATCACTCAGTACATGAAAATGTATCTAGAGAGGTGAAAAGTGAGGGACTGGGGTTTCACAAAAGCACCCAAGGAGAAAGCAATCCCACCACATACCGTGCATTGCCATCGTATCCTGCAAAGATCCACAGCTTATCACTATACACTGTTGCACCATGAGCTGACCTCGCAACAGGCAATCTGCAATTGAGAAAATTAAGGAAAAAAAAAAAATCTTCAATCACCAGCAGAGGTGCTGCAAGGATCTGCATGACAGCTAAAATGCACATGTGAGAAGAATAAAGTCCCCTACACAAAATGGCTTCAAGCCAAGAAATTTCTTCTGTCATACACTCTCAAAACACAAACCAGGTCTCTGAAGGGTACCTTTTAGAATGTTACACACTCTGCTTCCTTCATTAGAGAAAAATTACCTTAGTGCATACAGGAAAAAAGAAAAAAAGAAAAAAATCCCAATTAATTCCTTGCCAGACCTCAAATACTCTTTAAAGTATTTTATGGAAAGTAGCTAAGTAGTGGGACATTTAACAGCACTATCGTTACGGCAAAGTAGCAATCCACTCGTGCTATAAAAATCCCATGCGTATTCTCACGCACTAAGAAGGTGGAAGACATAAATGAGACCCAGGACAGAGCTCACGATGCTTATTTGGGATTGTTCAGCGGGGCGCTCCTGAGATGCAGTGCCCACCATAAAAGATCAAATCTACGATTTCTCTTCCCCAGTCTTTCTTGTTTTTATTAAATCAGCCAAGAAGGGCTGAACAGAACTGTGATGCCACAAGGCCTGGAGACGTAAAGTTAGCTCGTTTGAGGTTGGTTGTGCAGTGTGCACACCTGTAACTGGGGAGAAAGACAAGGACAGTGGAGTTTGTAAAATATGAATAAGAATTACTCCCCACAATGTCCAAAGTTGCCAGAATAAGCAGAAAGAGAAATTACTAATGCAGTCTATGTTCTAAAGCGTAACATATGCTCATCAGAGGTGAGTGACAGTAACTCAAGAACGGACTGTGCATTCCTCATCCCTTTCTACAAATCACAAACATAAATGTTCCTTTCCCTCCCCCCACTAAAATCAGCATTTCAGAAATTTCAAATAGTAATGAACTGCACATAAAGGCACAGTATGTCCCATACGCAGGTATGGTAAACGTTAGGTAGTTGGGTCAAAATCAGTGTCACAGATAACATCCTGAAACGCGCACAAAGTCAACTCTAAGATGTCATGCGGTACTTGTTTTGATTTTGCCTTGGAACACTGAATCTCAGGAACCTGTGTTCAACAGATCCAAACATGTATCGTCAACTCATTTGTCTGCTTCTGAATTTATTTGTGTGAACACACATCACCTGAAAGCACTTCAAGTGAGCGTGTGCATTTAGGAGCACTCCAAGAAAGTCAAACAATTCAAAAAAGAATGCATAGATTTAACTACAAATAAACTTCAAACTGGTTTCTGATAAAACTGAATTGAAACTATGAGGGATCAACAAACGTCATGCTATCCTTGAAAAAGAAACAATTCGAAAGAAAGCATTTCCTTTGCTCCCATCCCTTCTGTCACAGAAATGAAATGTGAAGAATGGATTCTGGTCAAATTTCCAATACAGTACACTCTGGAATAGATGCCTTGCAAAAAAACTACTGCAGAACAACAGACAGTTTGCAGAAAACTTTTACCAGGAATGTAGAGAAAAACTTGTCTTGCAGCCTTAATACTAGCACTGTAAACGATTCTAACTGTGCCACTTTAAATGTTGGCTGAGTTCCACTCAAGTCCCCTTGAAGAGCAGGGTAAGGATGCCAGCTCCTTACCTTCCTTCAGTCTTCCACTCCGTCCACTGTCCAGTTGCAAACTTATATTCAAAGAGATCATTTTTATTCTTCAGGTTGGAATTGGAATAAATGTCTCCAGTATAGCCACCTGGGCAACAACAATACCATTAGACTCCAACGCAATAGAGCATGCACATATCTAGTCGTTATATGAGAAGAAAACTTAAGTTTAGATCGCACAAAGAGAAGGTATTTGGCTAATGGACTGTTACAGGTGGGACACTTCTCCACTCCTACCCCTAAAGAAACACTGTGGTAATGAGTTTCTAGTCTTCTTTAGAATCATAGAATCACAGAATCATTTAGGTTGGAAAAGACCTTTACGATCATCCAGCCCAACCGTTCCCCTACCCCTGCCATCCCACCCCCAAACCCTGGCCCTCAGC